TTTGACTTTTCAATGTAGTGAAATTTACCTGGATTATGTGTGTTACTAAGCTGATCACTGCCAGTACAAGACACATTAGAGAAATCAATGTGGTGTTTTTGCTCCTTTTTTCAGGATCTGTTTCTTGAAAAATCTATGTAAGAAAAGCACAAAGCGATCACCAGTTACAATAGCTCCGGAAACACTGTAGAAACTATTGAACTTCACCTTCTCTCAGCTCTTCCCCAGCACTGAACTCTGCCACCTCTCATCTTTCTGCTGCTGGCTGGAGGTCACTCCACCTCTCCCAGCTGACCTGCCTCTCATCAGCTGCTCCTTCTCCAACCCTCCACCAGACCCTCTCCTCATTTGCCTGGGAGCTGCAGTCCCATTAAACCCTGCCTCCAGGCTGCCACTTCCCCAGCTCTTATCTGCCTTTCACTGAATGCAGTCACTTCGGCAGACCATCGACCTCCCCTCCAGCTGACTACAGCACCCCTCTTCTCTTGCCTGAAGATAAAAGATTCCCTCAACATCTTGCTCCAACCATTCTCCCTGGCTGCTGCTCCAACTCCTAGGATCATATACTGGAATCCAAAGGAAGACTCCATTTATTTCCTGAAATGATTCAGGAATTAAGGGGTTAATTATTCAGACGATCCCATGGATGTCCCTGGTACTTACAACCATGTTGGAATGCAAGATACCTTGAAGGAGCTTACTGTCTGAAGAGAATGGGTACAATGCAAAGAGCAGGGTCAGGTACAAGGCAGGGAGTCTGCACAACAGTGGAGAGTGGTAAATGAAAACTGAGTTTGATAAGGGAAGGTGATTTGCTTCACTGGAAAGGTGAAGAAATTCCAAATACAGGGCTGGAAAATAGGCAAGAAGTCTCAAGTGGGGAGATGAGATCAAGGGCTTGATCAAGTTCCTACTAAAGTCAATGGAAAGACTTGTAGAGTCCAGTGACAGTGGGAGTAGAAGGAGGCTCTAAGGCATCACTAGAGAGGACTAGCTGGAGGGTCGAGCAGGATTTAAAGTTCTGCATTTGTGCCTGGTTCGTTAGTTTACCATACAGTTCTGAACTTACCCCAATGATTTTTCCAAGTAGAACAGAAAATGCAGGGTGGATGCCACCAGAGAAGGCAGCAGCAATCACGCCAAAGAATATATGCAGCCACTCAGGTTTGTTCAGAGCCAGAATTCTGGAATAAGGCACAGCCGGGAGATTTTCCTCCTACATAAGAGAGAAAATTCAACTATTCCCTGAAAGTTATGGAACATGACAATTTCCTGC